TAACTCGGGATGTTCACCTGTTGAGTCACATGGCCTGCCCGTCGAGTTGTAAGAGGCAATAAGTGCATATAAAAGTTATCTTCGACACCGAACTATCACAGTTGGAACATGGTCTCAATGGGAGACCATATATCATCTTCTTTTCATCGTCCTTGGCATTGTCCTTAGTTTCTCATTTTCAGCCTTTGCGGTGGACCAGCACTCTGTGCCATAAATCATGACGGGTAGGACGATGGAGTCGAGCAATTCTTTTTTCCTGCACACGTACAGTTCGCTCTCTAACAGCGGTGGTGTGATGTGATTGAAATCTGCCATGCCGCCTCTCTTTTTCAGTTAATATCGCCATTGACGTTGTTACTAGAGTCTATTTGGCAGTCGAGGTATACATGGCTAGCGATTTCGTCCATTTCTTCGCCGCCATGGTCCCTATGGGGCACTTCTCGTTGCGATCCATTTCGTCTTAGAGAGAGATGTTCATATTCAGGCCGATGGCTGCAAAATCTTCGTTATAAGTTACACCAGATCTTTCGCAAATGCGAGACCGTCGTTCGCAAAGAGCAGACGAGGGAGTCGTTCTCCGTATTTGTCATTTCCACCGCCAATTTCGGACGATTAAAGATGGATTCCAAATCCTTTGCGAAAGCCCAAGTGAGCTCCTTGGCGCTGTTAATTCAAGGTTTCTCATTTTATGCTGATTCGACACGGTTCCTCGAAAAGCTTGATGTCGATTGCAATGTCATTATTGAGTCTCTCGCTCGTGTCGACGTAGACGGGGTTGATACCGCAGTCGGGCAAGGCGTTCAGTTAAACTGTCAACTCAAGGTAACGAATAACGAAAGCTTTTCTGAAGTCAAAGTCGATCAAGGCACAGCAGAGTAGTAATTGGCGTTCCTTACACTTCTCTATTATTTGTTTCGCACAGTGGATGTTGTCATGCTGGAGAATCATACGTTCGAAACCGGAACCGGTTCGTTCTTTACTTGCGAGCAATTTAAATACTTCCGAATACGTTTAAGGGTGATTCTTGCACAGACCTCTGTTTGTGACAAGGAGGTGATGGATCGATGGATTAAACATGAACTAGTATGCAAGAAAAAAAAACAAGCAGTAAAAAATGTCGATCATTATCAAGGTGGTGAAGTCTGGTCCAAAATTAATGTTCTTCTCTCATGCGGCTGATCAGAATTCAGACGGCGAATGGAACCAGTGACTTCGGGAAAGGCTCAGTCCAGCACCTGCAAGGAATGTACGGGGATCCTTTACTTGGCCGCTTCAAAACTCTAGTGGAATACAGCTGGAATACAACATTAGTGCAGCGGGTTAGTTGGGCATAAATAAAACTGTCCAAAGCAACCGTTGTCTCTATCAAGCATCTGGCTAGATGCTAATACCAAACCTTGGCAGCGCAGCAGTTACAAAGTTGACCAAGTAGTTCCAAAAGGCTGCACATGATGACAAGTTAATTTCTCAGGGGACAGCTAAGCTTGCAGTCGATGACCAAACATTATAAATCTTCTTCACAGACCTTGTTTACATGCCGAGTCCAGCTGATCCACCTTATCATATCAACTCCATAAAACTAAGCGCTCTCGTGACGATTGTGGCAGTAGCGAAAGAAGTCTACTAAACTGATGAAACGAAACTCATCGTTGATGAGATGTAGTCAAATTTCTGACAAGGGAATGACGCAGGTGCTGCTGAAATGCGGCATGACGAGGAACGACTTGAGGTAACGAACTTCGGCTTGGATAACACGGCCATTTGTTGGAAGTTACTGCCGGCAGAAGCAGGCTTTGGTGGGTATTCTTTTAGCAGCAGTTTTCCAACCGTCCTTCTTTTACGTCTGGCTTTCCGAATACTTCCACGGGTTGCGATGGCGAGAAGAAGAACGAAACAGCAAAATATTCACGGTTAGCAGGTACTGCAATCAAGTGCTACATGTCAGCGTCAATATCATGAGGAACTGTTAGCTGACTTTCGCAGGATACTTCGCTCATTTAAAACAAGAGCCGGAGGGGCCAATGAATCACTGTCTGAAAACTGCAGCTGCGCCTTTCAAAATCCATGATGACCTGATAGAAAAAAATTGCCTTCAATTAGTGATGAACATTTAAAGAAACCATTTGGTGATGACATTTCGACGAAAGACTTTGAGTGCCAGATTTTAAATATCGCGACGACGGAGTTCCACCTATGACAAACAGAGAAGTGTTGCAAACTTTTTGACTGAGGTCAGAAATGCGTTTTATAACTACTGCATTTCATAACAATAGCGAAATAAGTTACTTGGTGGAAAAGAGGTTCATAAATACAACAAGAACAAAGAATTGGGGCACACTTCTCCCGGATGATGGAAAAGTGGTTTCTCTTCTTTGCAGTTTGGTAAATAAGATCTCGAAAAACTGCAAAACAAGCAAAGAATCTGTGTAAGGAAAATAATGGATAACGTTCACAGAAAATCCAGTCTTCGACTGCTGATTGTCAGGTTGAGTATTCTGTCATAATATCTCCTTTCAGTAC